ATACACTGTGTGAGGTATAGTGTAGCCATGTGGCTGAGACAGCAATGTTCCATATACACTGTGTGAGGTATAGTGTGGTTGACACAGCAATGTTCCATATACACTGTGTGAGGTATAGTGTGGTTGACACAGCAATGTTTCCATATACACTGTGTGAGGTATAGTGTGGTTGAGACAGCAATGTTCCATATACACTGTGTGAGGTATAGTGTGGTTGAGACAGCAATGTTCCATATACACTGTGTGAGGTATAGTGTGGTTGAGACAGCAATGTTCCATATACACTGTGTGAGGTATAGTGTGGCCATGTGGTTGAGACAGCAATGTTCCATATACACTGTGTGAGGTATAGTGTGGCCATGTGGCTGAGAGAGCAATGTTCTATATACACTGTGTGAGGTATAGTGTGGCCATGTGGCTGAGACAGCAATGTTCCATATACACTGTGTGAGGTATAGTGTGGTTGACACAGCAATGTTCCATATACACTGTGTGAGGTATAGTGTGGTTGAGACAGCAATGTTCCATATACACTGTGTGAGGTATAGTGTGGTTGAGACAGCAATGTTCCATATACACTGTGTGAGGTATAGTGTGGTTGAGACAGCAATGTTCCATATACACTGTGTGAGGTATAGTGTGGTTGAGACAGCAATGTTCCATATACACTGTGTGAGGTATAGTGTGGCCATGTGGTTGAGACAGCAATGTTCCATATACACTGTGTGAGGTATAGTGTGGCCATGTGGCTGAGAGAGCAATGTTCTATATACACTGTGTGAGGTATAGTGTGGCCATGTGGCTGAGACAGCAATGTTCCATATACACTGTGTGAGGTATAGTGTGGTTGACACAGCAATGTTCCATATACACTGTGTGAGGTATAGTGTGGTTGAGACAGCAATGTTCCATATACACTGTGTGAGGTATAGTGTAGCCATGTGGCTGAGACAGCAATGTTCTATATGTAGCAGAGTCATTGCTCATACCACCTTTTAGTGTTGTGCTGTTTGCACGACAAGACCCCTTATGGCCTTCACCCTTGTTTTTGAAACCTTTCCACTGTGCTTAGCAAGCAACTATATCCCCCTAGGTCCCTACTCTCGTTTCCCACGTAATTTCAGTCGTCAGTCTAGACATCGCGTGATTCTCCCCGTTCACACCTAACAATGAGTAATTAAAATTTTTCCACTGACCCGGCCAGCTAAAGTCGCTGCAGAATCTGCAAAACAATGTGGATGGGAGGTCCTGGTAACCCCTTTATAAGCGATTGCCCGGAACCCTTGAGAGGGACACAGAGGAACAGATAGGAACAGAAAGGACACAGAGGGACACGGAGGAACAGATAGGAACAGAAAGGACACAGAGGGACAGATAGGGACAGGCAAGAGACAGAGACAGAGATAGAGGTAGGGAGGAGACAAGCACCGGCCAGTTAAACAGGGAAGGAAGTCTGGCTAGAGAGCTGGTTGATTAGAAAGTATAGATGAGTAGATAAAATTTATCCATGTTCAGTATTAGAGTCACCGTCAGAACCCGTGGCCCATTCCAAGACATTACGATTGTTTTTATACGTGAAGACGGATTAGCACGCGAATATTACTATACAGTAAGGCAATTTGACATTTTTAACCCACTGTGGGTCCAGCCAGATTCAGGAGTAGACACTGACTCGAGCTCAGAAGAAGGAGAGGAAGAAGAAGAAGCCAGAGCACAATAGATTAGGACTACAAATAGGTCGGACTTCCTGGAGATCCCTTGTTATATTCTAGAAGAAGATAAAAACCTTTTAGACCAACCTACACTAGGAGCCCGGTGGCAGCTTAGACATTAGAGCTAGTTAACCAAGTAACGTGCATGTCAGAACAACATTGATGTCATTGTGTAACATTCTTAGTGTACGACAATAAAAGTTCCAGTTTAGAACTGTTGTATTGTTGAACGATTCAGTACGCAAGCCTTAGAGTCGAGTGGTAAGCGTGCATCACCATCACCCCTATCGACACGACCATCTTTAACATCATCATCGGCTACCCTTGTGACAAATATCAACGAACCTGGGTTGGTTTAGCATAGGCAGTAAAAGAGGCAGCTCTGTCACATATACACACCGTGTGAGGTTTAGTGTGGCCATGTGGCTGAGAGAGCAATGTTCTATACACACCGTGTGAGGTTTAGTGTGGCCATGTGGCTGAGAGAGCAATGTTCTACACACCGTGTGAGGTTTAGTGTGGCCATGTGGCTGAGAGAGCAATGTTCTACACACCGTGTGAGGTTTAGTGTGGCCATGTGGCTGAGAGAGCAATGTTCTACACACCGTGTGAGGAATAGTGTGGCCATGTGGCTGAGAGAGCAATGTTTTATACACACCGTGTGAGGAATAGTGTGGCCATGTGGCTGAGAGAGCAATGTTTTATACACACCGTGTGAGGAATAGTGTGGCCATGTGGCTGAGAGAGCAATGTTCTACACACCGTGTGAGGTTTAGTGTGGCCATGTGGCTGAGAGAGCAATGTTCTATACACACCGTGTGAGGTTTAGTGTGGCCATGTGGCTGAGAGAGCAATGTTCTACACACCGTGTGAGGTTTAGTGTGGCCATGTGGCTGAGAGAGCAATGTTCTACACACCGTGTGAGGTTTAGTGTGGCCATGTGGCTGAGAGAGCAATGTTCTACACACCGTGTGAGGTTTAGTGTGGCCATGTGGCTGAGAGAGCAATGTTCTACACACCGTGTGAGGAATAGTGTGGCCATGTGGCTGAGAGAGCAATGTTTTTATACACACCGTGTGAGGAATAGTGTGGCCATGTGGCTGAGAGAGCAATGTTTTATACACACCGTGTGAGGAATAGTGTGGCCATGTGGCTGAGAGAGCAATGTTCTACACACCGTGTGAGGTTTAGTGTGGCCATGTGGCTGAGAGAGCAATGTTCTACACACCGTGTGAGGTTTAGTGTGGCCATGTGGCTGAGAGAGCAATGTTATACACACCGTGTGAGGTTTAGTGTGGCTGAGAGAGCAATGTTTTATACACACCGTGTGAGGTTTAGTGTGGCCATGTGGCTGAGAGAGCAATGTTCTACACACACCGTGTGAGGTTTAGTGTGGCTGAGAGAGCAATGTTCTACACACCGTGTGAGGTTTAGTGTGGCTGAGAGAGCAATGTTCTACACACCGTGTGAGGTTTAGTGTGGCTGAGAGAGCAATGTTCTACACACCGTGTGAGGTTTAGTGTGGCTGAGAGAGCAATGTTCTACACACCGTGTGAGGTTTAGTGTGGCCATGTGGCTGAGAGAGCAATGTTCTATACACACCGTGTGAGGTTTAGTGTGGCCATGTGGCTGAGAGAGCAATGTTCTACACACCGTGTGAGGTTTAGTGTGGCCATGTGGCTGAGAGAGCAATGTTCTACACACCGTGTGAGGTTTAGTGTGGCCATGTGGCTGAGAGAGCAATGTTCTACACACCGTGTGAGGTTTAGTGTGGCCATGTGGCTGAGAGAGCAATGTTCTACACACCGTGTGAGGAATAGTGTGGCCATGTGGCTGAGAGAGCAATGTTTTATACACACCGTGTGAGGAATAGTGTGGCCATGTGGCTGAGAGAGCAATGTTTTTATACACACCGTGTGAGGAATAGTGTGGCCATGTGGCTGAGAGAGCAATGTTCTACACACCGTGTGAGGTTTAGTGTGGCCATGTGGCTGAGAGAGCAATGTTCTACACACCGTGTGAGGTTTAGTGTGGCCATGTGGCTGAGAGAGCAATGTTATACACACCGTGTGAGGTTTAGTGTGGCTGAGAGAGCAATGTTTTATACACACCGTGTGAGGTTTAGTGTGGCCATGTGGCTGAGAGAGCAATGTTCTACACACCGTGTGAGGTTTAGTGTGGCTGAGAGAGCAATGTTCTACACACCGTGTGAGGTTTAGTGTGGCTGAGAGAGCAATGTTCTACACACCGTGTGAGGTTTAGTGTGGCTGAGAGAGCAATGTTCTACACACCGTGTGAGGTTTAGTGTGGCTGAGAGAGCAATGTTTTCTACACACCGTGTGAGGTTTACTACAGTACAAACAATACAAACCTAGAACACTTTTCTCTGGAGCCGCAGCAACTATGACTCCTAAAGGCAAATGTTTCTCTGTCAATTTAGCATGGAGACCCAAGAAATCACTAAAGCGGCGAAGCACGGCATTCTCTGGTCGTCTAAATGCAGGGTTGCTGGTCTGCAACATGTACATCATAGTTCTCACAAATATCAACTCCGTAACACATCCACAAACATTCCACTAAACACAGTCGCGTTACTGCTCATATCCATGAGAACATGTTCACAAACTGACACATATCAATGTAAAACTAATGGACCTATGCATCTGACGGCACCAATAGGTGTGACTAGTTATAATGTCAGACTCTATGTACTCATTGTATTCGTTAGTTCAGAGAAGTCATCACACAATGGCCTTATCTTATCTTTGAAAGTATAGAGGACATCAAATAACACTCAGACATTACAATCATATTTTTTTTTAATTTTGACTTAAACCCTTTTCTTTCTGTGCTCACTTTTGGCCTCCTCTCCCTTCCCCCACTCCCATTCATTTCTGTCTGCATCTAATCTATTCTTTCTCCTCTCCAGTTCCAATCTCTCTCTCTGCGTAAATACATCCCCACCCCCTCCCCTTTCTGTGAAAATCCATACATGCTCAATTTTTGTCTTCCTTTTTGCATGCGAACACACATGCTCCACCCTGACCCTCTTGACATGCTCCACCCTGACCCTCTTGACATGCTCCACCCTGACCCCTGACATGTTCCACCCTGACCCTCTTGACATGTTCCACCCTGACCCTCTTGACATGCTCCACCCTGACCCTCTTGACATGCTCCCCCCTGACCCTCTTGACATGCTCCCCCCTGACCCTCTTGACATGCTCCTCCCTGACCCTCTTGACATGCTCCCCCCTGACCCCTGACATGTTCCACCCTGACCCTCTTGACATGTTCCACCCTGACCCCTGACCCTCTTGACATGCTCCACCCTGACCCTCTTGACATGTTCCACCCTGACCCTCTTGACATGTTCCACCCTGACCCTCTTGACATGTTCCACCCTGACCCTCTTGACATGTTCCAACCTGACCCTCTTGACATGTTCCACCCTGACCCTCTTGACATGCTCCACCCTGACCCTCTTGACATGCTCCACCCTGACCCTCTTGACATGTTCCACCCTGACCCTCTTGACATGTTCCACCCTGACCCTCTTGACATGTTCCACCCTGACCCTCTTGACATGCTCCACCCTGACCCTCTTGACATGTTCCACCCTGACCTCTTGACATGCTCCACCCTGACCCTCTTGACATGCTCCACCCTGACCCTCTTGACATGCTCTACCCTGACCCTCTTGACATGTTCCACCCTGACCCTCTTGACATGCTCCACCCTGAACCTCTTGACATGCTCCACCCTGACCCCCTTGACATGCTCCACCCTGACCCTCTTGACATGTTCCACCCTGACCCCCTTGACATGCTCCACCCTGACCCTCTTGACATGTTCCACCCTGACCCCTGACCCTCTTGACATGTTCCACCCTGACCCTCTTGACATGTTCCACCCTGACCCTCTTGACATGTTCCACCCTGACCCTCTTGACATGTTCCACCCTGACCCCTGACCCTCTTGACATGCTCCACCCTGTCCCTCTTGACATGCTCCCCCCTGACCCTCTTGACATGCTCCCCCCTGACCCTCTTGACATGCTCCCCCTTGACCCCTGACATGCTCCCCCCTGACCCTCTTGACATGCTCCACCCTGATCCCTGACATGTTCCACCCTGACCCTCTTGACATGTTCCACCCTGACCCTCTTGAAATGCTCCACCCTGACCCTCTTGAAATGCTCCACCCTGACCCTCTTGACATGCTCCACCCTGACCCTCTTGACATGCTCCACCCTGACCCCTGACCCTCTTGCTAAGTCAGTGATATTTTGACCGGTGGTTTAGACAGGCAAGCAGAAAGTGAACTGACCTTGGTGATGACTTTATAAACTATGTACGCTGACATGCCCTCTCCCATTTTCAGAGCATCTGTTATCTTTATCTGCGTTTCATAAGCTGGCTTCTCGTCAGCTGACTCTGAAACCTGCACAAGTAGAGAAGTTACTGAAAAACCTGCACAAATAAGGGATGTTACTCACAACATGCACAAGTAGGGGAAGTTACTCACAACATGCACAAGTCGGGGAAGTTACTCACAACATGCACAAGTAGGGGAAGTTACTCACAACATGCACAAGTAGGGGATGTTACTCACAACATGCACAAGTAGGGGATGTTACTCACAACATGCACAAGTAGGGGATGTTACTCACAACATGCACAAGTAGGGGAAGTTACTCACAACATGCACAAGTAGGGGAAGTTACTAAAAAACCTGCACAAGTAGGGGATGTTAGATATGCCACACTGGTGAGACAATGACAGATATGCCACACTGGTGAGACAATGACAGATATGCCACACTGGTGAAACAATGACAGATACGCCACACTGGTGAGACAATGACAGATATGCCACACTGGTGAGACAATGACAGATATGCCCTAGTTGTGAGACAGTGATGCCTGGTGTGTATGCTATGCTGGGACAATCAAACTTACCTCCTCTGACTGAAGAGATGGTGGCACTAATTTAGTTTTGGGTCCTGCTGTTTCTGTGACAGAAATCTGAGGTTTCAAACCATGGGATGCAGCTGCTGTTGCTGGTGAGTCTGAATCTGTTTCCTCTTTCTCATTCTCCTCTCTGCCACCTTCTTCATCTGAGTCTAGCCTGATCTCGGCACCCACTCCTGTTACACACAACAGACAACATCAAGTCAGTACAGCCAGCAGTCTACGTGTGCGTCCATAGCTTCAAATGCATACTGGTTCATCCACATTTAGAGACACAAAGCTTGTGATAACAGACACATTCACCCACTGATTCACACATTTAGAGACACAAAGCTTGTGATAACAGACACAATCACCCACTGATTCACACATTTAGAGACACAAAGCTTCAGGTAACAGACACAATCATCCACTGATCCACACATTTAGGGACACAAAGTTTCTGGTAACAGACACAATCACCCACTGATTCACACATTTAGAGACACAAAGTTTCAGGTAACAGACACAATCACCCACTGATTCACACATTTAGAGACACAAAGCTTCAGAGACACAAAGCTTGTGATAACAGACACATTCACCCACTGATTCACACATTTAGAGACACAAAGCTTGTGATAACAGACACAATCACCCACTGATTCACACATTTAGAGACACAAAGCTTCAGGTAACAGACACAATCATCCACTGATCCACACATTTAGGGACACAAAGTTTCTGGTAACAGACACAATCACCCACTGATTCACACATTTAGAGACACAAAGTTTCAGGTAACAGACACAATCACCCACTGATTCACACATTTAGAGACACAAAGCTTCAGGTAACAGACACAATCATCCACTGATCCACACATTTAGGGACACAAAGTTTCTGGTAACAGACACAATCACCCACTGATTCACACATTTTGAGACACAAAGCTTCAGGTAACAGACACAATCACCCACTGATTCACACATTTAAAGACACAAAGTTTCTGGTAACAGACACAATCACCCACTGATTCACACATTTAGAGAGACAAAGCTTCAGGTAACAGACACAATCACCCACTGATTCAAACATTTAGAGACACCAAGTTTCTGGTAACAGACACAATCACCCACTGATTCAAACATTAAGAGAGACAAAGCTTCTGGTAACAGACACAATCACCCACTGATTCACACATTTAGAGAGACAAAGCTTCTGGTAACAGACACATTCACCCACTGATTCACTTATTTAGAGAGACACAAACTCATGCCAAGCCCTATGCTCCTTCTATGAACCTACTCATGCCAAGCCCTCTGTTCCATCTATGAACCAATTCATGCCAAGCACTATGTTCCATCTATGAACCAACTCATGCCAAGCCCTCGGTTCCATCTATGAACCATCTAATGCCAAGCCCTCTGTTTCATCTATGAACCAACTCATGCCAAGCCCTCTGTTTCATCTATGAACCGTCTAATGCCAAGCCCTCTGTTTCATCTATGAACCAACTCATGCCAAGCCCTCTGTTCCATCTATGAACCATCTAATGCCAAGCCCTCTGTTTCATCTATGAACCAACTCATGCCAAGCCCTCTGTTCCATCTATGAACCATCTAATGCCAAGCCCTCTGTTCCATCTATGAACCAAATCATGCCAAGCCCTCTGTTCCATCTATGAACCAACTCATGCCAAGCCCTATGTTCCATCTATGAACCATCTAATGCCAAGCCCTCTGTTCCATCTATGAACCACCTAATGCCAAGCCCTATGTTCCATCTATGAACCAACCCATGCCAAGCCCTATGTTCCATCTATGAACCATCTAATGCCAAGCCCTATGTTCCTTCTATGAACCAACTCATGCCAAGCCCCTCATTCCATCTATGAACCAACTCATGCCAAGCCCCTCATTCCATCTATGAACCAACTCATGCCAAGCCCTCTGTTCCAACTATGAACCAACTCATGAAGGTGCACACAGGTCATTTGAGACAGGTGTTAACCAGCATGATGGTGGACAGGGGACATTTGAAACAGGTGTTAACCAGCATGATGGTGGACAGGGGACATTTGAGACAGGTGTTAACCAGCATGATGGTGGACAGTGGACATTTGAGACAGGGGTTAACCAGCATGATGGTGGACAGGGGACATTTGAGACAGGGGTTAACCAGCATGATGGTGGACAGGGGACATTTCAGACATTCAACAGGACCCAGCAATGCACATATGCAAAACTGTGGCTGGAAGATCTTCACCAACCAACTCAACTGACAACTACAGAATAGTGACAGAACTCTTGAGGCTAGTTAGCTGGTCATATATCAACCTCCAGTGAAGTGCTGTCATCACCTGAAAGTAGCAGGTTCTAATTCTAGTGTTATCAGATTTTAATCCTTTTCTGGTCTAGTTTTGCTCTGGTGTTGTCCAGCCTAAAGCTTTGATCAGTGTTAAACACTGCTTGTGTCTGATATCAGAATGGTCTGAACCCTTCTGCTATACAAATCTCCACAAAATACTATTTTATAAATTTCATTAAAAAGGCAAGAACTGTATGATTTTCTAAAACTCTACCTTAAGAAACTAGAGGAAGAGAACAAGAAGAAGTGGAGCCTTAATGCGTTTTTATACAAATCTGAAGGGAGGGGACTGAAACCTGCGTTAACAGGGCGGCAGGGTTCAAGGTTCATCACTACCTATCAACATTCAAGGGTACTTCATCAGGGTTTCCTAGTGCTTGCTTTCAGAATGGATATCAAAGCTTGTGGATAAACCCCAAGATGCTTCATCACCTTTAGCCAACCTCACAAAGTAGAGGTGATGACTGTTCCAGTAACACACAGACAACTGCTGGTTACATCAACATCAACAAACACCTTCAAAAAAATCCTCCCTGTTATCCACATCCTCATCCACACTGTTTTCATCCTTGGAGAGACTCTTGGAATCCGACAGGTGGATCCCAGATTCTTGAGACTGCTCAGATTCTGGCGATGAAGGTTTCTGCACAAGGAAACATACAGGAAGTCTTCAAGAGAAAGTTTATGATATATGCAAATGTAACAAACTGACAATCGATATTACTATGAGAAATTTGCAACTTATATAAAGGATAATAATGCCAGAAGCTCGTCACCATAACCTCCTGGTGCGGGATTTTATGTCAAATAGGGCTCCCAGTCTTTCCCTTTGTTCCACTCTGTCACATAGGGCTCCCAGTCATTCCCTTTGTTCCACTCTATCCTACACAATCAGTTCAATATCAAGGAAGGAATCGAGACCAGAACTTTTGGTCTCTCATCAACATTCATTTTAGGGTTTCTTTTGAGTGCCCTTGCCTCCTCAATTCATTTATTTCCCATTTTAGTACCTGTTTGGAGATTTCCTGCTGGTGTCTTCCTGTGTGTCCAATAGAGCGCCACCTGGTGTCTTCCTGGGTGTCCAATAGAGCGCCACCTGGTGTCTTCCTGTGTGTCCAATAGTGCGCCACCTGGTGTCTTCCTGTGTGTCCAATAGCGCGCCACCTGGTGTCTTATAAATGTTGATTCCAGTGACAGCCCAGGCATTTCTCTTATTCCTTTAACCCTCTTGAATTCATCCCATTTTATGTTCATCATTGTCCCCACACATTTGTTTTTCAAATGCACTAAACTGTTATTCCATGTCTTTAGGGGTTTTTTAACTTTCACTTACAAATGTTAAAACTGAAACAACAGTGACAATATGTACTGTGGTGTTAAAACTAAAACAACAGTGACAATATGTACTGTGGTGTTAAAACTGAAACAACAGTGACAATATGTACTGTGGTGTTAAAACTGAAACAACAGTGACAATATGTACTGTGGTGTTAAAACTGAAACAACAGTGACAATATGTACTGTGGTGTTAAAACTGAAACAAACTGAAACAACAGTGACAATATGTACTGTGGTGTTAAAACTGAAACAATAGTGACAATATGTACTGTGGTGTTAAAACTGAAACAATAGTGACAATATGTACTGTGGTGTTAAAACTACACAATTTAGAAACTCCCAATTTTGTTGAGACTAAGATTTGATTGCTCAGAGAACTAGCTATTAGTACATTTACACATGGCTGTGAAACGTGGACCTCAACAGCTGAACTTGACAGAAAGATACAAGCCTTAGAAATGTGATGTTTCAGAAAAATTCTTGGCATATCATAGAGAGACCACAATACAAACGAAGAAGTTTGCCATAAAATTATACAGCACATTGGCAACGATGAACCTCTTTAACTACAGTGAAAAGTCAAAAAATGCAACGGTATGGAGATGTCATAAGATCTAACGGCTTCTCAAAAACAATACTTCAAAGCTTAGTAGAGGGAAAAAGGAGAAAAGGCAGACCAAGAAAGACCTGGTTACAGAACCTGACTGACTGGACAGGCATGAAACCATGAAGTCCATCACAACTGACCGCCAAAGGTGGAGAGAGCTGATCAGACAGTCAACAGAAACTGGTGACCCAACGATACCTAGTTTTACGGGATGATGATGATGATGTTGAGACTATCAAAAGCTGCTGATGCCTTGCCAATGCATGTCATAATGACTTTATTTGTATTTCCAGCACTCTCAACATGACTATCTGCACAGTCTGTGACTTTAATTCTGCTTGTCTCTAGTGTTACATCTGCTTGATCTGTTGTTTGTGGCTTCAGTATATTTGTCTTTTCATAACTTATTTTGTAGTCTAACCCTTGATGCTATTTTTGATATATCATCGTTTTCCTTTGCATGTTTTTGTAGTTTTTACTTAGCAGAGCATTGTCCTCAACAAATTTGAGACACCTGAGACATGAAGACAGAATAGTATGTAGATAAACACAGAATATTTGAGACACCTGAGACATGAAGACAGAATAGTATGTAGATAAACACAGAATATTTGAGACACCTGAGACATGAAGACAGAATAGTATGTAGATAAACACAGAATATTTGAGACACCTGAGACATGAAGACAGAATAGTATGTAGATAAACACAGAATATTTGAGACATGAAGACTGAAGCCTAAGAACCTGCCCCATGCTGTAGGTAAAAGAGGAGCAACAAAACTAGAAATCAATCAGGGGATTTGCCTGGCCAAGATGTGTTGGGGAGTTGAGATGGTAATTCTACATCCCACAGCAGGCCAGCTTGTAACCAGCTTGTAACCACTTGTAACCAGTGCACAAGACTGAGACACTCATCATGATGCTCAAGCTGGTTATCTGTGACATAAGTGCTGTGTGAAACAGAAACAGCCAGAGTTATCTCCTCAACCAGCCCACTTGATCCACATGTCTTGTGTTAGCCCCATCAGGATGCACCAGATAGATTCTACGTCAGCAAGATAACAATTGTTAATCTTCTCTGACTGCAAACGCCCACACTTAAACACACCATGCAGTTCACTGAACATGTTGTTATTTATAACTGAAATTATTGCAAAAATGAGTACATGCGCCTGAGCTGATCAAGGTGAAACGTACTGGTACCAGGACTTATCCCAACAACTGAGGGTGAGAGGTCTCTATGGTGAAGCAAAAGAAGAGACACTAACAACCAATCTCTTGCTACATCCAGATGTTGCCTACAGAAGCAGAAGAAGAATCACAAAAAATCTCTTGCTACATCCAGATGTTGCCTACAGAAGCAGAAGAAGAGACACCAACAATCTCTTGCTACATCCAGATGTTGCCTACAGAAGCAGAAGAGACACCAACAGTTTCTTGCTACATCCAGATGTTGCCTACAGAAGCAGAAGAAAAAACACTAACAACCAATCTCTTGCTACATCCAGATGTTGCCTACAGAATCAGAAGAAAAGACACCAACAATCTCTTGCTACATCTAGATGTTGCCTACAGAAGCAAAAGAAGAGACACCAACGAGTTGACTGCAATAAAGCAGGAAATATCCTAGTCATAAATCATATCTCTGCTTATAACTAACATAGAGAATGGAATGAAGTAATGCTGACTACCACTGTCAGTTGTATCCAGCATAATATATCAGTATAACAATTGGAGAAGTCTTATATAAATATCTCAGACATACGTGAAAGGAAAACAGGCATCCACAAATAATGTGGCACACAGGAGCGGCACTACTAGCTAGAAAAACACAGCTTGCTATAACAGCCTTCTGGGACAGTAGCTAGGTAAAGAACTAGAACAGAGTGGCTTGCTATAATAGATATCTGGGACAGCAGCTAGATAAAGACCTAGAACAAAGTAGGCTGCTAAAACAGCTATCTGGGACAGCAGCTAGATAAAGACCTAGAACAAAGTAGGCTGCTAAAACAGCTATCTGGGACAGCAGCTAGATAAAGACCTAGAACAAAGTAGGCTGCTAAAACAGCTATCTGGGATCTTAATAAGATGGCAAACTAGAATGTAAATGTGCTGTAATTATTTATCTGAGACAGGAGCTCATTTAATCATAAAGTGGATTGTAGCAAACACTTTCATGTAATAACTATACATAGGCTTTCTAAGAACTGTGTGGGATAGAAACGGCTAGAGTAAGACTACTAGGCCGGGATAGAAACGGCTAGAGTAAGACTACTAGGCCGGGATAGAAACGGCTAGAGTAAGACTACTAGGCCGGGATAGAAACGGCTAGAGTAAGACTACTAGGCCGGGATAGAAACGGCTAGAGTAAGACTACTAGGCCGGGATAGAAACGGCTAGAGTAAGACTACTAGGCCGGGATAGAAACGGCTAGAGTAAGACTACTAGGCCGGGATAGAAACGGCTAGAGTAAGACTACTAGGCAGAAGAAGACACAGACACTGAACCTTTCCTTGTAAAAAAAGGTAATAAAATAATGTAGAAAATAAAAAAGCTAAAATATGGACAAGCAAATACTAAAGATCTAAATCACTGTGTTTCAGTGAGAGAAACCTCTCTGTAGGAGAGAGAAATTATTATTAACTATTCCTGTACCAGACATGCGTTACTTCTGGTAATATCAGCTATTATTACCGTACATGGTAAACTATTATTTAATAACTATTTGCTTGAGGGAGTTCAAACAATAACAATTTTATAAATGAATAAGTTATATATTCTTCTTCTGTGTGTTCAGCGGCTGTAAACTGGGGCAGAAAGTCATGACTGTTTGACCACTTCTGGACTTTAGTTTTGTTCCAGGATCTGAGTTTTGCATGCACTTCCATTTCACAGATCTGGCTAATACCTGTATGCAGACTGCTGGCTCCTCCCCTCTCAGGCAGATGCACTTCAACTTCAAAGGAAACCCCTAATTAGATGAATTTTAAAGCATGCTTGTTAAGGAAAAGCCCCCCACCCCCCCCCCCCCCCCCCCACCAATAAGGAGCCAGGAAAACCGAATGGGGAATATGATATATGAAAATGGAAGGAGACAAGGTAACAGTAGAGTGACTAATGCTATTTAACTAAAAGGCATACAGGCAGATCAGAAAAGCAATCCACGCCGAGTGAGCAGCGTCGGGGACTCCTGGGGGTGGTCGCCAGAAAACTGCAGAACTGAAATTAAGTCGCCAGTAGTGCGCAATTGACACTTGACTGTGGCTCGAAAGGATATTTTGCGGCCGCCATCTTTACCGACCGTTATTCGGAGGATAGCCGCATTTTGTTTTGTGTGGGACTGTTTGTGTTAGTGTTAGCACTTCGGATGGCTACCGTATGCTTTTGATGTGTGTGTATGCTAGTGCATATGCTGAGACAGCAGTCTGTCAATCTTTCCACAGGGGACTGTGATAAACATTCTGTATGTTTTTCGTTGGCACAGGAGCGGAGCAACTACTATGGGACGACCCGTTTGCTAGCTATGAAGCTGAAACTAAGATTACCAGATTACAGGATCAAAACCAAGACAAGGCGGTTGTATTTAAATTTAGTTTACTAGGGAGTTGTCAGTTTAGTCACAATTTATATACTGCGTCATAGAACATTTAAACCATATCATTCAAATCATAACCAAAGACACAGACTCATCTTTATCATACTTATATTATAATAAACACCGGCTTTCGATTCGTCTCGCTCTTATCGATAGTTAATAATAAATTGACGTCCACAAGTGACAACATGTTGACCCCTGCAACACTCCAAACTATATCCTTTTGTCAACAACAATAAACAACCAAATCCTTAAGAGCAAGAAATGAACAGACGTGTTACTGTTACCTCTTTAGCATCAGAGAACAGATCGTCTTCATCTTTTAGGTCTTCGTCGTTGTCGAATGGGGGAGGCTCCATGACTTCGGCCATTTTGCTGGTCACGTGATGTACACTATACTTCTGCTCGGCGCCTGGTCAAATGCTGTGTAAACCACAGCACTATCTGATACAGGCAAATAATTTCAGTCTCCCAGACATGCTGTTTATGAGCTAGTTTTCGTCATGCGGAGAGGCAAACTGGAGTACCTGGTTATCGCTGTGTATGCCCATGCTGACCTTGATCTGCGCTTTACGGATCCATTTGTGAAAATGATTATATCTTCTGAGTTTGAATGCTGATCTATCAGTTCCCTTACCTCTGTGTCTACGGCCGCAGAAATGTGATCCCTGCAGTACCTTCCGAGTGTGATAACAACCTCTGAGATGCCATGCATGTGTACTGGTGTATTCGTCCATTCTTTTCCGTGATTGATCGCGTCTAGGTCACATACCTGCTGGATGAAATAAATCCTCAGCCTTTGCCATCCAGGAGCGGCCTCTTTTGTGTCGTGTATGGCTTTGTGCTGTGGGTGGTTAACGTCTGCCGATACCCTCATGTAAGCCTTGACCTATGCGACTTTGTATCTGCTAGTCATAGTCGGCAAACCCAGGATATAACGCATGGCGTTGCAGGAAGTGTCATTTGTGCAGCTGAGTATGAGTCTCATTTTGTACTAGGTCCAGTCTTTCTAGCTAGGCTTTGCTGACAGTGAGGAGGCCCAGACCATAGTCAATGACACTGAATACAAGCCCTTGATAGAGAAGGAAAAGAGAGAAAGAGTCAACACTGAGGCTTTCAACTGTATGGAAAATGATTCTTCACTGAACAAATTGCATAACCCGAGTGTAGCGGTGAGACAATAGAACCCTGCAGAGGCCACCGGTTGTTACATCAACCAGGGTGGGAGCTGTTAGCCCAGACACTTACAGACCAGCTCAGGAGGAGACTAGAGCCTCACGGTTGTGTCCCGTGAAGATAAAGACGATCTTGAAATGAACGACAGCTGTGCTCCTGGTGTTTCATCAATGTTTTCCTTGGCCTACTGCTTCCTGTCCGCCAAGTCTATTTTCTTATATTCTATTAAGTGTTGTAAAATATTGTCAAGCCATAAAATGCTGTATTCACACACAAGAACCAGAAACACAATACATCAGCCATGAGCTAGATAACTCACTCACAACAACCAGAAACACAATACATCAGCCATGAGCTAGATAACTCACTCACAACAACCGGAAACACAATACATCAGCCATGAGCTAGATAACACACACAACAACCAGAAACACAATACATCAGCCATGAGCTAGATAACTCACACATAACAACCAGAAACACAATACATCAGCCATGAGCTAGATAACTCACTCACAACAACCAGAAACACAATACATCAGCCATGAGCTAGATAACTCACTCACAACAACCAGAAACACAATACATCAGCCATGAGCTAGATAACACACATAACAACTAGAAACACAATACATCAGCCATGAGCTAGATAACTCACACACAACAACCAGAAACACAATACATCAGCCATGAGCTAGATAACTCACACACAACAACCAGAAACAAAAGACATCAGCCATGAGCTAGATAACTAACACACAACAACCAGAAACACAATACATCAGCCATGAGCTAGATAACTCACACACAACAACCAGAAACACAATACATCAGCCATGAGCTAGATAACTAACACACAACAACCAGAAACACAATACATCAGCCATGAGCTAGATAACTCACTCACAACAACCGGAAACACAATACATCAGCCATGAGCTAGATAACTCACACACAACAACCAGAAACACAATACATCAGCCATGAGCTAGATAACTAACACAACAACCAGAAACACAATACATCAGCCATGAGCTAGATAACTCACACAACAACCAGAAACACAATACATCAGCCATGAGCTAGATAACTCACACACAACAACCAGAAACACATTAGAACAAACACATCAGCCATGAGCTAGATAACTCACACACAACAACCAGAAACACAATACATCAGCCATGAGCTAGATAACTCACACACAACAACCAGAAACACAATACATCAGCCATGAGCTAGATAACTCACACACAACAACCAGAAACACAATACATCAGCCATGAGCTAGATAACTCACACACAACAACCAGAAACACAATACATCAGCCATGAGCTAGATAACTAACACAACAACCAGAAACACAATACATCAGCCATGAGCTAGATAACTAACACACAACAACCAGAAACAAAATACACCAGAACAAACACATCAGCCATGAGCTAGATAACTCACACACAACAACCAGAAACACAATACATCAGCCATGAGCTTGGTAAAGATGGTCGGCGTAATGCTGACCACATTACTCTCCTAGTGCTGACTGGTCTGTACAAAAATGGGTGCTCTTCCCATATGCCTCATTGGTCAAAGGCGTAAAAAAGGATCGTTACTTATTGTTGACTTATTTAATAAAGCTATTCATGAGACTCTCTGGATATGCCTAAATGATGATGCTGACAGAACAACAATAAACTCTGTATCGAACAAAAAACAAAAGATCGGGAAAGTGAACAAGACATAAGTTATCTTACAACTCTCTGTCATCATGTTCTCCATCAGCTGTCTGGCAAGGGTTATCTTACAACTCTCTGTCATCATGTTCTCCATCATCTGTCTGGCAAGAGTTATCTTACAACTCTCTGTCAACATGTTCTCCATCATCTGTCTGGCAAGGGTTATCTTACAACTCTCTACTGTCAACATGTTCTCCATTATCTGTCTGGCAAGGGTTATCTTACAACTCTCTACTGTCAACATGTTCTCCATCAGCTGTCTGGCAAGGGTTATCTTACAACTCTCTACTGTCAACATGTTCTCCATTATCTGTCTGGCAAGGGTTATCTTACAACAACTCTCTACTGTCAACATGTTCTCCATCATCTGTCTGGCAAGGGTTATCTTACAACAACTCTCTACTGTCAACATGTTCTCCATCATCTGTCTGGCAAGGGTTATTATCTCTACTGTCAACATGTTCTCCATCAGCTGTCTGGCAAGGGTTATCTTACAACACCTCTCTACTGTCAACATGTTCTCCATCAGCTGTCTGGCAAGGGTTATCTTACAACTCTCTACTGTCAACATGTTCTCCATCAGCTGTCTGGCAAGGGTTATCTTACAACTCTCTACTGTCAACATGTTCTCCATCATCTGTCTGGCAAGGGTTATCTTACAACACCTCTCTACTGTCAACATGTTCTCCATCAGCTGTCTGGCAAGGGTTATCTTACAACTCTCTACTGTCAACATGTTCTCAATTATCTGTCTGGCAAGGGTTATCTTACAACAACTCTCTACTGTCAACATGTTCTCCATCAGCTGTCTGGCAAGGGTTATACTGTCAACATGTTCTCCTCTCTACTGTCAACATGTTCTCAACATGTTCTCCATCATCTGTCTGGCAAGGGTTATCTTACAACAACTCTCTACTGTCAACATGTTCTCCATCAGCTGTCTGGCAAGGGTTATCTTACAACTCTCTGTCAACATGTTCTCCATCAGCTGTCTGGCAAGGGTTATCTTACAACAACTCTCTACTGTCAACATGTTCTCCATCAGCTGTCTGGCAAGGGTTATCTTACATGTTCTCCATCATCTGTCTGGCAAGGGTGTACTTACTCTCTACTGTCAACATGTTCTCCATCATCTGTCTGGCAAGGGTTATCTTACAACACCTCTCTACTGTCAACATGTTCTCCATCAGCTGTCTGGCAAGGGTTATCTTACAACACTCTCTACTGTCAACATGTTCTCCATCAGCTGTCTGGCAAGGGTTATCTTACAACTCTCTACTGTCAACATGTTCAACAACAGAATGGTTTTAAAAAAATGATTGTTTTTACTTTGACAATAACAACAATAAACTTGACTAAATAAATGATAGCATACTTTCACCAATGAAAGCAGTGATGAAGGCTGTGACGATGTCCAAGGTTGCACTCAATTCCCCGTATGAAGAGGGGTTTCAATAAAAATTGTATTAAGATCTAGACTGACAAAACTCTCATAGTTTGTTTTTGGTGAGATAAGTGTTGATGAAATAAATGTTGCTGAAATAACTACTGGTGAAATAAGCATTGCTGAGATAACTGTTGATAATATAACTGTTGAGATAAGTGCTACTGAGATAAGTGTTGTTCCAAGTTGACTAAACAATGAATGTAAAGATGTCTGTCTGAGCGCAAGTTGTGTGACATGACCCATACTGAACTGTGTGAAGATTTCAACATTGAATTCTGTTGTGACTACTGCTAGCGGTGTTGCCAGAATTATCAAAGCTGATGACAACCAACACACACAGAGGTTATCTGTGTGTGCACACGTGACAAACTGACCTGTGAACAGGTGCAATCATGCGACATGAATATGGTTGTCACCATATGTGAGGCTGTTCACAGAATAACAATTAGTAAATAAACACTCACTAGTGTGCTCATTCAGTGTCAACATGGTTGCACCAATATGTCTGTCTGTGTTCATTGTGATACTACAGTCAATAACCCTCACAGTGAATAAATATGTAAATATAACTATATTAATATAAAAATAACATTTTCTGGTTCTGAAGCACAAAAAATGTAAGAAGCAACTATAAAAGGAGACACACACACACACACAAACAAGTTGCAATATGTGGGTTAAAACATTCTTGTGATCTTTATGTAGGATAAATCAGCTGAAAACAGCAGGATGTCAGACACCACATCAAGTGGCTCCCATCTCAATCCAGAGCCTACTATAGGCATATCACCAGGTGGCTACAGACACCACATCAAGTGGCTCCCATCTCAATCAAGAGCCTACTATAGGCACATCACCAGGTGGCTACAGACACCACATCAAGTGGCTCCCATCTCAATCAAGAGCCTACTATAGGCACATCACCAGGTGGCTACAGGCAGCACATCAAGTGGTTCCCATCTCAATCAAGAGCCTACTATAGGCACATCACCAGGTGGCTACAGACAC